GTGAGAATATTTTTTTTTCCTTTTTTAAGACCCTCGGTATTTTCAACAGGTCTGTGAAGCTTGCGAGAACCATCTGGATGGTCATGTGCCTTTTTCTCATTTTTTTGTAGTCCTGTCAAATTTTGTTCAGGTTTAGTAATTTTTAAAATATTTTCTAATCCATCTGTTTCCCGTCCCTCATCTACATTCTGCAGGACAATGCTGACAGCCTGCCAAACTAACTTGGCACAGACATCTGCAAGGCTGGGATTTGTGGCCACATGTAAGTGTTTGTAAAGGTTGAATCTCCAGTCTTCTGTATGCCTGAGCATTTGCCTTTTCTCTTAATTGAGAGAGGTATGAAAACACCAACAAATCTTCTGTCAGTCCCTGCCCAAGAAGCCACCCCATTAAGTCAAATAGTTTAGACTACATTCTTGCTATAGAAAAGATCATGCACCAAAAGTTTTTTGCTTCTAGTCCAACAGAAGGAATCTCATGCTGCGGAGTTGCCCCTCTTTGTGGCTGGACATCACACTGGCTACTCAAAGAGAACAGGAGCTTAGCTGTAGGCAGCAAGATAAGGTGAGGCTTACAGTAACATGTACCCAAGCAGGGTAAGCTGGGCTGAGATCCAGAACTAAAGAAGATAAAGTATTTTTTGAAAGTAGTGGAGGTGTGATTTTTTTAGATTTCACAGAGCCCCACTAGGGCTGTTCACATGCCACATGATAGCCATTCTGGATTTTCTCCAGCCATATCCGAAGATGTAATAGTCACCCATACTGTTAAAAACTCTGAGCAGCTATGAAACAGAAATTCACTCCCAGCATCCTTTTCTGCTTCTTCTCTCTGAGGGATGAATTTCTTGGATATGTGTTTTAATGTAAATGTTGCCCTGAGTAATGTTTGAAACTGTGGATTCTAAAGATCAGATTTTTAACTATGAGGAGATTGGGTGACACTGTTTGGGGAATTTTGTTGTTGTTTCTACCAGACCTACAGAATGTTTCTGTCAGAATGGGAAAGTCAGGGAAAAGTAGGGAGTCCTAAATATTTTATGGTGAAGATTTCTTCCCCACAGATGAAATTGCATGGTCACAAAATCCATTTTGCAGTTTGATCCAATATAGATTATGCCCGCACATCTTTCCCTTTTTCCTACCCCTTTGTCTCCCCAGCCCCAACCATAAGTACAGTTGGCCAGTGTAAGTGTGCTTGAATTGCTCTGCCAGTACTTCTTGTCAGATGTGTGATTCAGACCCAAATTCAGGCTGGACTAGAGCCACAGAGCAGAGAAAATTCGAAGTTATGAAACTTTTTTCTCATTTTACAGCCGTCTAAAGAAGCATTTTTAAAGGAAGAAAAGGTTAAAGCCCATAATAACTATGCCCATCTTTCGTATTCACAATTGACTCAAGCTGTTAAAACTCAGTTTTCTGCAGCTCTGTTTAAAACATAAAACCTTTTGCTTTCTATTTGGATTTTTCTTTATTCATTGCTTGAGCTTCCATAAGCCCCTTAAAACTGAAATGAAGCTCTCTAAACTGTGAGGAGGTTGCTCGTTAGTGGAGCAAATACAATACTGCAACCCACCACAAATATTGATTTAGTATAGAATTGATTTCTCCCTTAAAAAACACTAAATCCTCCATTTGGTTGGTTGGGTTTTTTTGTTGTGGGTTTTTTTTTTTTTTAATCTTAGTGGAAATCAAATTAGGAATTTGAAAACAAAAAGCCCCATCTTTTAAAGCAGGACGTTTCCTCCACATTGCAGAATTTAATACAAGGGAGAAAAAAGAAAAGAGACAACAGAGGGAGTGAGAAATGTAAAATCGTTCAGAGAAACACCGTCCCCACCGAGGTCAGGGGCGACATTCCCGTCGCGGCTTGTGCAGCACCGCGGGGCCGGGGAGCATCCCGCGCGGGGGATGCGGTGAGAGCCACCCGGGACACCACGGCTGCCGGCCCGGCGTGGGCGCCTCTGGGGTCCGGGGCCCGTTTGGCCACGCCGCGGGGCGGGGAGCCGCCGGCGCGCTCCTCCCCCGGCTGAGGAGCGGCAGGGG